CCCCCCCTCTGCCATACGTCATGAACGCAGCCTAATTTATTACTGAGTTCATGTAATTTATTGAGTATACTCCCATTTCAAAAAGCAATGAGATCTGGAATCTGAGACTGAGTATCACRCTGCAAATCCTAATATATCCACAGCCGAACAACACCTATAGYGGAACACATGAACTTGGAGTTATAAATGCGATTTTTCCTATTTTTGCAAGAAAACATCAAAGCACAACAAATTCTGTTTTCTGAAACAGGTTGTGTACATATTATGATAGAGTTTTGAGTGGAAAAAGTACACAACAGTTATGTATTTGCACACACAAACAAGTATTGTACTGTAGTGATAGTTCAATGGCTTYATTTCTTTATATAAGATTTTCTCATGGTCTTATTATTATTTTTTCATATCAGGCCAGTGATTCCAAAGCATCAGGGTTTAAGCAAGGCATGAAAGTAGAAGCAAAAGAYAGCTCAAGCACCAGTAATTCTTACTGGGTAGCAACGGTTGTCATGGTATCAGGTCCATTATTGTTGCTAAGATTTGATGGATATGATAACGATCGCAGTGGAGACTTCTGGTTAAATTCTTCATCTCAGTTACTACAGCCTATTGGCTGGTGTGCAAAAACAGACAATTTACTAATACCACCTGAAGCCATAAGACATAAGGAACAAAACTGGGCAAAATATCTCATTAATAACCTTAAAAATGCAATCCCTGCCCCAGACCATCTCTTCCATAAATCTGTTGAAGACGATAACAAGAACCTTAAAATTGGTGCCAAGCTAGAAGTACAAGATAGTGAAAATCCTCTGTGTTACTGGGTTGCTTCAGTTGTGGAAATTTTTGGACTGAGATTACGGCTTAGGTTTGAAGGGTATGAATCTGAGGATGGTGACATATGGGAAAATTTGTTGTCTGACCGCCTACACAACTTGGGTTGGAGTAAGCAGATGAAAATGATGTTGAAACCACCCGAAGGTATGGTGAACATTATATAGTGCTATTTTTGAAGTACCTTGTGCTAGGAGTCTTACTGGTAAACTGAGTAAATTTTATACTGCATAAGCATGTGGCACATTCACTCTCTTGGGGTAGAATAGATGACCTGCACTAAGAGGTCACGTGATCAAATCAGCCATTGTGGCTGGCATTCTACAGGATTTTAGCTATGTGAGAATGTAAAAAAAGATGGTGGATTCGGGTAGTTTTTTTGGTAATAAAAGGTAAGTTAGCGCACTAAATAACRATAAAAATCCCCTTTTCTTTTAAGGAATAAATTCTTAGTAGATATCTAAAGTAGATTTTTGCTATTAACTCGCCAGGATGAGAAAAAATGTAGTATTTTTTGCGATACTATGTGAAGACCTACGAAGTGTTTAGTCTTGTTGCTTAATTGGTGACATAACAATCAGCATAGACTTAATTGCCATACTTTGAGTTTATCAAAATCCTACGAAATTTCAGTTGATGGCATACTATCTACTGTATGGTGTCATTAAGCTTGCATGGATGGCCATTATTTTTCCTGTTTCAGACAATGTTATTCCTTTCAGTGGCTATCAAAATACTGTTTACATGTAGTGTGTAAGCTTTCTTGATGAGCTGTTTATCCTAGAGAAACCACAGGGAAAATATTATTAAATTCAAAAAATGCTTTCTCTGTGGTGCTTGTTTTTTTATTGTGATTTTTTCTTTTTAAGTCATGGAAAAATATTCACGATGGGCTGTATTCCGGAGAGTTACTGAAATGTGTTTCACTCATAGTGATTCAGAACACATGAAAGACAAACAGGTTTGAAAAACTTTTAATCCTGACTTTACTCTGTTAGCCCCTTGCCCCTCCCCCCTCCCCAAATAAATAAAAAAATTATGAGCCAAATAGTTGCATTGTGAATCTATTTTCTTCTATCCCATGCAGCCTTATTAATTTGTAAAGATATTCATTCTGAGTATATGTGCTTACAATTCCTTTATTTTTTGTAGGAAGCTAGTCTCCCAGTGAACAAAGGGTTTAAACCAGGGATGAAGGTTGAGGCTGTTAACCCAGAGAATCCTTTATTGATTTGTGCAGCTACTGTCAGAAACATTTTAAACAAGCACTTTTTCACTGTTGAGATTGATTCAGCTGTGGGATCAGCAGAGATGCCACCTTTACAGTTTCTTTGTCATTCAAGATCTAAATACATTTTTCCTGTTGGATGGTGTGGAAAAAACAATGTGAAATTGACTCCACCTAAAGGTAAGAATAAACATTTTATGCGGCATAATAATTATTATTCAATGGGAGATACTGGATGGTATCAAGGGGGTGGTTGTAACTTATCAAGCCAGTATTGTAGGTTCCTTATTAGATTTTGTATTACTCTCTATATTTGGTAATTAAACTCTAAAGCAACTAAAGGAAAGTAAGGGGGAGGGAATGGATTGGTTGATCAACCCTTGATATCCAAAGTCGTCGTTGTTTCATATTGTTTTAATGAAGCTATGATACGACAATCCCCTTGATTGATGTCAGATGGCGTGAGGTTGTCAAGGCTCTGCTTTTGGTTATGAACTTTCTCTCATGTTCTCCCAACATCACGCATCATGTTTACACAGAAAGTGACACTTTTACATGTAACACTGGGGGCCACGGAGCACCTTTAAAAGTGGGGGTGGGGCTAAAATTGGAAAAATATATGAAACTACAGTATGGGAATAGAATGGAAAATATGAAACTAGTATGGGAAAAGAGTAAAAGTGGGGGGCTGTGGCACGCTCTGCCCAGGCCCTCCATGGCCCCTAAACTTTTGTGCAGAAGTCACATTTCCTGTCTTTAACAGTGGTGTCAGTATGCTCATATTAAATCTAGTTTGCAAGGAGCAGTTATTGACATCTAATACCATTGATTGATTATAGGTTATACCAGCAATTCCTTTCAATGGAAATCATATCTGGATACAACGAATGCTGAAGCAGTCCCAGAAGCATTGTTTCAAAAGGTKAAATGTCTATTGCTTCTATTAATAGTGCATGCTAGGTTGTTGGTGAAGGTTGTCAATGCAAAACTGTTAATATTTTGTATGTAGGTACACGTATTGGTAGAATGTTAGTTGATATTGTAGTTGTAGGCTAATTGATAGTACATGTAAGTGCTGTACTATAATTATTGGTGGTTTTTATTGTAGTAAATTCTGGGTTAGTTGATGGTCATCTACATTACTTGATGAACCCAACAAAAGTGACCGCTCACCAACAAGATTGGCTTCATAGCTCAGTTGGTAGAGCATCGCACCGCATCGCGGAGGTCATATGGGTTCGATTCCCGTTCAAGCTTGAAATCATTTTTTCAAGTCTTTCTTTACAGCGTTCACTYCTTTGAGAGGGGGTAATTCAATGTCAACCACCACTTTGATCCTGCTCAAACCCTGCATTTAGACACTAAATGCATTTTCCATTGCCCATTTTCTCTAGGATCTAGTGAAACAAAAGCCCATCAGTCTCAGTGATTTAAACCAAATTAAACTTGGATCATTCATGGAAGTACTGGACGAAGATGATCCCACAAGCTTCTGGGTGGGAAAAGTAGTTAGGAGTGTTGGCTTCAAACTGTATGTTAATTTACAAGGAGACTCCAACTTGGACCACGCTATTGAGGTGTATTACCTGTCAGAATCAGTACATCATCTGGGATGGGGTCTCCAAGCAGGACTTAATCTCAAGCTTCCAAAAGGTATTATAATAAAATATTGTTACAAATCTCTCTTTCTGATTGGTTGGAAGGGCGTGCTTTATAAGAGTACGCAGCCTATCCAAAATAATGGTTATTGTAAAAGTATTTTATAAGAAATTAAAAAACTTGCTTGCTGTGCTGTGCTGTGTGGAGTTGTAAAGCACTCAGGGATTTGCAGAAAACTCAAGAAGTGTTGAGAAGCACTTGTGCATCATGCTTCTTCTAACACTTTTAACACTTGTAACACTTTTTTGGTATTTGCTGCCTATGCAATGTAAAGTATGATAGGCACTTGCCAACAGCTCTTGCTTCCCTGTACAGTTTTTTTTTTTTTTTTTGCTTTTAGTGCCTCCTCCATGCTGTGTCACTGAATAGAGAGCTGCTCTGCACTATTCAGGGCTTAAAATAATAATTTCTAATAAGAATAAGAATCTTTTTTGTAGCTCAATTTTACGAGTTGAAATGATGAGTAAGGCAAAGATTTGTGTGGAAAAGTTCCAATTCTGGCCATTCACTGTCCAAAGACCAGTCTTTTTTAAGCTGCTATTTGTTAAATACATGTACAAATTTAATATTTTGTAGATTTAAAGTTTGAATGGCTTGATGAAAAACAGCTGCTGAATGAGTTGTATAAATTGACAATTAAGGCAGATCCAAATTCTCAACTGAAGCTGAAAAAGGTGTGTTAACTTTTTTTAATCATTTATTTTAATGTACTGTAACATTTTTTAAACAACTAATCTTATAATAAATTTCTGAATGTATCATTAACATAAAACTGTTTTTCTTRCATTTGACATGTAGACTTACGATTTTACCTGCAAGTAGCAACTTTTACCWGCAACAATAAGTGGATTGCAATCATTCTTAATAGCAATAAAATAGCACAAAAAGTGGCTCCTCTGTTGATTAATGAAACAAAAGAAACAAAAAAAAAGAAAATGGTTTGGTTCAAGATATCCAACAATGCGACCAATTTTTATTTTCCAATATTGTTCACAGGAAGACAGTTTACCAGACGTCCATGGATTCAAGGAAGGCATGCAGCTAGAAGCAGTCAACCCTCAAGATCCATCATCTATTTGTGTGGCTTCTGTGAAGAGAATCTTCAATAAATACTACTTTACAGTGCAGATTGACAGTTTAATCAATACTGGCAAGGACAAAAATATTATGTTCTGGTGCCATGCACAGTCCAGGAATATCTTTCCTGTTGGCTGGTGTGATAAGAATAAACTACAACTAACTCCACCACCAGGTACATATACTAGGCATACCATGCTCAGGGTTGCCAATAAAATTTTTGGTAGGCGGTTATTAAATTCAAATAGGAGGTAAACCGGAAGTTACTGGAGCATGTAATCAAGGCATACTTGTCACCAGTCTCACTCTTCTCACAAAAGTTCAAGATGGCGGATCGTCGTACAGGTGTAGTTTCGATTGCATTACAGTTTTCGTAGTACAGCAACAAAGATTGGGTTAAAATTTATTTTAATAAACTTTAAAGAACTTTAATCAAAATTTACAATTACATTGGGAAGTGGCTAAGTAGGYGGCCGAATTAGCAAGAGTATACGGCGGAATCTGCCAGTTGCCAGCTTCTATTGAAAACCCTGCATGCTCTACTAGCATACATACTGTATATCTGTGTTACATAATTATAAGAAAAAATACTACACAATTTGATAGGGTAACTAGATTAACACAGAGTAATTTTCACCTCGAGGCCCTGTCTAGATCGAATTAATTTTAGAGTTTGATTTTGGGGAGGGAGGAAAACCAGAGAACCTGGAGAAAAAACCCTCAAAGCACAGGAGAGAACCAAAAAGCAAYTCTTGAACTCAAATATGATGAGTCCAAGGATTGAACCCCAGTTGCATTGGTGAGAGGCGAGCACTGAATTCATATTGTTCATTGTATGTCTTCAGGGTATTCCAATAAGGAGTTCAGATGGGATACATACATGGAGTCAATGCAAACCAAAGCAGCACCAGAATTATTGTTTTGTCAGGTAAGTGACAAATGTATTGTCAGTTTTATTTATTTATTCCTTTATATGTCTATCCCTTTTACACAGACACCAAGCTCTATCTGAACTTCTATAATCTTCTATAATCTTATAATCTTCTATAATTAGAATATCGCTCTGGGATCCTCACAAGCACCCTAAATTTCATATTCCGGCTGCGTTACCAGCGTGGTTGATCCTTGTGGTGTAGTGGTTAACACATTGGACTGAAATACATAAGACGTGGGTTCGATTCCTGCCAAGGGCATTTGATATTTTTCTCTTATTCTCTCTCACACCRAATGCATAATTTATTACTACTATACTAATCTTTTTCTGTTTTCTGATATAGGATGTACCATCAACTGAATTTGAAAATGCTCTTAAACTAGAAGCCGTAGACCAGACCAAACCAGAGACCATCAGTGTTGCAACTGTGTCTCAAGTTGTTGGCCGTACAATATGGGTTCGTCTGGATGGTTATCCCAGTAATGCTGTTGAACACATTTATGATGTGGAGTCCTACAACTTGTTGCCTGTTGGATGGTGTGGTACTTATGGACATCCGTTACTGACACCACACCAAAAAAGTAGGTCACTTCTATAATGGGAAGCACAGGTGGAATGCTTATCCACCCCCCTCTCMCCAATGCGACCTGGGTTGAAGCCCTAGGAGGCTCGATGTCGTAAGTGAGTAGAGGCGTTTATTGGTTCTCCAATGTGGTTTCTCCTCAGGGTTCTCTGGTCTTTCTTACAGGTTCTCTGCTTTTTTCTCCCTCAATAATCAGCTTCTAAATTCTAATTCGATCTATGTTCTGCCTTAACAATTGGGTYGCAAAACCTGTTATCTTGAATAAGTGGCGGAGTTCCCCAAAGATCGGTTTTTGGGCCACTTTGGTTTCGCTGTTTTTCGAAGCCTTTTCAAGTGTCAAAGATCTTTTAAATCTTGTATCAATATATAATTACCTAGTAGTTTTTGTCCAAAGTCAGTTGGAGTTCCTCTGAGATCGGCTATAGGGCCACTCTGTTTATATTCTTAATTCACATACTTAATGTTGTTCCTGACTATTGGCTTCTTTCAAACGTGCGCACCTTTATGACCTCCACAACTTCCAGAGGTCTGGGTTTTTAGCTTCTGCCCATTGATCAAAAAATTTATCTGTCAGATCATTGTGATTTAATGAATGGTAGTCAAAACATAATGAGGAAAGACACATATMTGGAGTGATCTGGACTGCAAAAAAAGTAGTTATATTCACACAAAATGTGCATTATTTAGCTCACAGCCAGGCTTGAAAAATATATAAATATTGTAAATGTAATGTTTTTCCCTCTTTCATACCYCTTGAAAAATACATTCTTTGTCTAYGATCCATCCATGTCTATGATGTTCAAGGGGGTTTGACATTGGAGAATATTATATTCAAAGGAAAGAGTTCATTGCAAAGTTCTTTTGATTGTGTTTTCAGGAAAAGAACCACAGACCAGACGWTGGGTGGCATCGCTAAGGTATCTAGTGATTATTTGTAGTATCCATCAAAGTCAGTTAGAATTTTGAAAGAAACAACCAAAATGAAGGAAAGAACTGGTTGAATAAATGATCGATTAATGAAAGTGGATGAAATATGTGTTGAAATCTGAGTCTTAATCCCCACCTATAAGATATTTTTATATAATTTGTAATTATTTTCACTTTATATTGTTCTCATAAACATAGAAAACGATCCACTGATTCTCATGTTTCAACTACCGCTGATTCAAGAAAAAAAAGACGAAAAAATAGCAAGAAAAGAAAATCCGTTACTCAGCACGCCAAAGAATCCCGTCGAGTTACCAGCACGGTTACTGCAAGCCAACAAACACCACCATCAAGTACAACAGATGAGAGCTCCAGACCGTCAGAAGACATGAATATCCATGTAGTGGAGCTAGAATCTGATATGGATACAGCATCTGAATCAGGGCAAAGACCTACTACTACTATAGACTTAACTGATGATAATGACTTCAGTRGTCAACCTGGTAAGCGTACTCCAGAATAGACTTATTATTGTCTATGAATGTGAAACGAAAATGGGAATGGAATGGGAATTGGAGATGAAAGAAATAAAAGTTACTTAGGGCTCCGGGTGGCTTTGGCGAGAGGCAAATGTTCTCACCTCTAAGCCGCCCGTGCTTCCCAAACCCTTTAAATGACTCTAGCACAGTTCACTCACATGTTGAATTTCAAATCTTAGATCAAGTTCGAATATTTGTGAAGAAGACTTGTTCTTGTGGTCCTTACATAGACAGCATAAAGTTGGGTTCGATACCTGATGTCATTGGACCTGCTGCTCCGAATACGATACTCAGAAAAGTGGTTGAATACCTTGTTCGTTCCTCTAATTCTGCCGTAAAAGTCCTTCAGTTGCTTTCCACTGAAAAGGAGAAAAAGACATTCATTTCTATATTAAAGGTAATTTGCTACTAAGCAATGAGCAAGTAGAAAAATTTGAAAAAATGAAAATTTGAAGAAGAAAAAAATGTATGCATGCATATTTCTCTCGAGAAGTTTGCGGTCAAAAGACTTGTCTTCTCGAATTTATTGCTGTTTAATACTTATTGCTTACCTAGTGTTTGTTTCTTTTTTTAGACGATAGTCTCCAAGTTATCCTTATGTGAAAATCTTTTGAGTTTACATTTAGTTCAAGAGTGCGCTTCTTGTGACAAAGGTACATATAGTTTGATTTGGTGTGATCTAATGCGACGCATGATTGATGAATGCGCACAAGCCATGACTTGAGGAACGTGGTTTATGATTGCAAAACAAAAAAGAAGATATTCAGTGAAATGAGACAACGAATTAAAGAGCAGACTACAAGGCTAAAATTCTTGGGATGCATGGAGGGTGAAGCCATTGGTCATATACGACACCAATTTTCCCAAAATTGGTGTCGTATATCGAGTAAAGCGAAGAGTAGTCTACGTGCAGCTGGAACCATATCCTGCAGACTAGAAGAACTATTCTATGGAATTACTGTGCATCAAACTTCAAATTGTATCTAATTTCCTGTCTTTTCACTCTGTAAATTGTTGATTTCCAGGTAATAGTCAAAAAATCGACTCATCATCAAAACAATCGAATTCTTCAGCCATGACTAATCCAAACAGTCCAACTACTACCCTACCAAACAGTACCACAAAGCAAGTCACACTCAAGTCACAAAACTCAAAACAACAACCTATGAAGGAAATACCATCAGCTATCGATGCCACAACACCAAACAGTACCACCAAACAAGTCACACCCAAGTCACGAAACTCAAAACAACAACAACCTATAAAGAAAACACCACCACCTATCGATGTCACAACACCAAACAATACCACCAAACAAGACACATCCAAGTCACAAAACTCAAAACAACAACAACCTATAAAGAAAACACCATCA